AGGCCAAACTTACCTGTTGTTCCTTTTATCTCTTGACTCCCTACTTTAGCATTCCAATCCCCTAGAATGAGAAGAACATCTTTCTTTGGTGTCAGTTCTAGAAGGTGTTGTAAGTCTTCACAGAACTGGTCAATTTCAGCCTCTACAGCATCGGTGGTCAGTACATAAACTTGCGTTACTGTGATGTTGAAAGGTCTGCCTTGGATTCGTATTGAAATCATTTTATCATTTTTGAAACTGTATCTCAGTACAGCTTTTCCCACTCTTTTGTTGACTATGAGGGCTACTCCATTTCTTCTACGGAATTCTTGCCAACAATAGTAGATATGGTAATCGTTTGAATTAAATTCGCCCATTCCCATCCATTTTAGTGCACTCACGCCCAGGATGTCAATATTTATTCTTGCCATCTCCTGTTTGATCCCATCTAACTTACCAAGGTTCATAGATCTTACATTCCAGGTTCCTATGCAGTATTTTTCTTTGCAGCATCTGACTTTCCTTTCACTTCCAGGCACGTCCGCAGCTGAGCATCCTTTCGGCTTTGGCCCAACCACTTCATTAGCTCTGGTGCTACTTGTCCTTGTCCTCCACTCTTCCTCAGTAGCATGCTGGACACCTTCCAACCTGAAGGGCTCATCTTCCAGCGTCATATCTTTTAGCCTTTTGTTTCTTCTTGGCAAAGATACTGGAGTGGCTTGCCAGTTCCTGCTCCAGGTGGACTGCGTTTAATCAGAACTCTCCACTGAGACCTGTCCGTCTTGGGTATCCCTGCACGGCATAGCCCATAGCTTCTGTGAATTACTCAAGCACTTCGCCACAACAAGGCAGCAATCCGTGAAGGGATGCCAAGATATTACCAGCATGGAAAGGCACAGATGTGTCACCACAGCCCTCCATAAAGTTCAGCATTCACTTCTCTAGTACAGAAATGTACAAAGGGCATTTCATACATACTACAAGCTAGGTTTGCAAGTTAGTGGGGAACTGCAGCCAGCTCCTGCTCTCAAGACTATCTGCAGCATGTAGATAGGATTACAGATGTGCCATTTGTTTGGTTTTTTTTATTCCAACACCCAGAATTATTGAAGAATTCCCCAGGCAGTATTCTGGAAGTTCCAGCCCACAGACCCACATCTACATGCACTTGCATTTCACTCACACGTACAAGAGCCTAGCGCAAAGGCTGCATGCCCTTGTTCTGATTTTCCTTCCTGTACAAAAACAAATGTCTGCTGTGGTGCTTCCTAGGAACTGTAGTTGTTTGGATGGTGTCCTCTGTAAAGCCTACAAGGCAGCAAGACTATGATTCCCAGGGAACAGTACAGAAGCTTTTTTTTTTCTTATTTTCTTTTGCAATTCCCAAAATTCTGCCTAGAGAATTCTGGAAACTAGAGGCAAAAAGAAAAACACACACTGTTAAATGGCACATCCCTATATATGATTAATTCATATGCATTTAACATTAAATAACTATTTAAATCTATATGAAAATCCATATTTTAGCAGCAGTTTAAAGAACCAAGAGTTACAAGTCCCAGTGGTGGTAAGGTTGACAGAAGGGACTACAGTGCGCACCTGATACCTGGAACATGCCTACCAGGGCTTATTAAAACTAAGACAAGATTTACCATCTTTGCCCTCTGCCCTTTAATCACGTATGCTATGTGAATGCTGTTTGTGGAAGCTCATGGTATTTCATC